TTTGTTTCCTGACATTAAACTCCATATTCTCTAAAGGAACTTGGAGATTTCCAGTCTCCATGATTAGCCTGTCTGATACTCATTTAAAATAGTACTTGTTTTTTCAGTCATAATTCATTATTTTATTGATGAGTTTAGGAAGTAGAAAGAACATATCAGACATTTATTTTTGAACATAATTCTACTGGCATGAAGGACACAATGTAATGCATTTCCTCCTTCATTTAGGAAGAACTTAATGTAAGACACATTCTCTGGGCATGAAGAAGAGCCAAGAGAAGAGACAGCAACAAACATGCCATGGTTCTGTCAAGTCAAATCAAGAATTATCTTTATAGAGTATTAATCATGCTGACAATCAACTAGACTTAGGGATTGAAAATACATTTATTCAGCAAAGTCTAATTTACCCTGCATAGTAAGTTAGAGACTTCAGGAGGAACCCAGCTCAGTCAATGCCTATGTATGAGCTTGGGCAAGTTCCTTAATCTCTAGTTTCCTCACATAAAATGGAGATCATAATGAAAGTATGCAGTACCAGTATTACAAGGACTACGTGAGAGATGATATATTAAAGTAACTAACACATTTAACATTCAATGAGGGTTCAAATGAATAGTTGGGATAGTAGCAGTAGTATCTATGGTAGTTGTTGTAATTATTATTATTGTTGGATGGTATAACCCAGGGGTTGTTCTACTACGGTGTATAGGCTGAATCTGGGCCACAGCTTATATTTGTAAAGAGGGGTTTTCTTTTTTTTTTTTTTGAACACAGTCATGTTCTCTTATTTGCTTATTCTCCATGACTGCTTTCTCACTGTAATAGCAGAGTCGAATGATTGTTGTAGACTACATGGCCCCCAAACACTAAAACAAACAATTTGGCTCTTTATAGAAAATATTTTCTGAGTGATAGCATAGTGGAACTAGAGAACAGTAAAAGCTTAACAGTCATGTGGATCTGCATTTGTCCCGGTTTCCTCATTGGTTTTACTATTGTGAAGGCTCATGGTCATACTGCCAGATCTTGGTGATGAGTCCTGCTTTCTCACATGTTGAAGTTTGAACATTAGAGAAGCCCGCCAAGCGAGGCAAGTATATAAAACAGGGTTTATTTAAAAAGCTGGTAACACGGACTTCTTCAGGGAGGGAGAAGGGGGCCATAGTTGGTGTCCTGGTATCCCCAGAAGCAGTGTGTTCTGCCTTTTTTGTATGTCCTAGGCTTCCTTTGTTCTCCTGCCCTCTTCCCCTTATCTTTCTCCTTCCTACTTACAGGCATTTGACAAGGTGGGGTGGCCAAAAGGTGGGAAACAGGTGAAGGGGGAAGGGGGAAGGGCAGGATGGAGCAGCCAAGGATACATTAATTAACCACCTTATAGCTTCCTATAGGGAGGGGCAGGTTCTTGATTAGGGTGGAGGAAGGGCTCTGAAGGAATTAACATTTAAATCCTTCAGGGGACAGTCTACAACTTCCCAGGACTCACTCTAAATGGGTCTGACTTATCTAATGGGACTCAATTTACCTATCTATCCCGACTGTATGTCATTAAGGCAAATTTCTTGAAGCAGAATGTTACATAAATGCACCTATAGCTTCATTGTTTTTTTTAAATGCTTAATATAAATTGAAATAATATTTGCATCATGATAGCTTCTTTTTTTGTGCGTGGCACTGGGGATTTATTCAGTCAAGGCAAGCACTCTACCAACTGAGCTATATCCCCAGCCCAAATTTCTTTCTTTTCTTTTTGTGGTGCTGGGAATTGAACCCAGGGCCTTGTGCATGCAAAGCAAGCACTCTACCAACTGAGCTACATCCACAGCCCCTCATGATCATGATTATAATTCTAGGTTCAACAACATTTATTCTTTTTGAGTGGTCCCAAAGAGTTTCTGGACTTGATCTGATCTATCTGACACTTGTTCTGATAAATAGGGATATTAAATAATCTAATTTGCATTTTCCCCCCCTTTAAGACAAACTTCTAAATCCTCCATTCTTGTCCTTGTCCCAAGTGCAACTCTGTCAGGGTGTTGGCATGGCCTCAGGGTATATGGTCATACATAGTCTGTCAGGCACCATCCTTGGATAGGTGTGCTCAGTTATCCACCTGCCAGTTAGGCTCATTTTTGACTAAGCTGGAGGGATGAACAAAATTAAAAATAAATTTGGTTGGTAAAGGGAATTGCATAGCTTCCCGCATGATATCTTATGCAATTTTTATAAAAGAGCAATTCCATCCCCAGAATGCCCACACTCAACTGTGTCTGACGCATGACACGCTCACGGTGGACCTTCACTAGCAGACCTGTGGAGGGAGTGATGAGTTTGCAGCACTGACTGTTCTACCCGATTTAGATGTATTTTGGTTACTTGTCCTTCTTCCCTGTCTCATTCAATCTGCTTCCTGAGATCACCACATAATAATCTCCACCAAAGACTTGGCTCTGCTCTTAGGGTCACCCTGACTAAGACAAGATGATCTGAATAATGGCATAGGTTACTTTTCAGTATCCGGAGTAGATGGAGGACAGGAAGTACAAGTCGTGCTGTCCGCTAGAACACAGAATAAATACCATTTTCGATCTCATAATCTTAATTATAAATAAAAACTTAAATAACCTTGGCTCACTTTCAATAAAAAAAAATCTAGGTTTTAAAAAGTTCTCTGAATCACAGAGTTCTAAATCTATACGGGATTTTCAATGTTAACCCCTCAAGGAATTTTTTATCTCAAATAGAGGGAGCAATTATTCTTCAGGAAAGTGGGGGGCTATTTAAAAGAGCAACTCAATATCTTATGGTAGCTATGAAATTGCCAAGGAGAGGCCAACTGTGAGAAAGTTCCATGGTAGAAATCATTTATGTTGATATCTGACTCTTGGTCTCATATCTTGGAAGCCCTTAGATCATTGATAATTTGACTTATCTGTGAAAGTTCAAGTTATCATTTATTTGAAATCCAACCAGAGAATGTGAGAGTTGTGAATTTCAGAATAGTTTTTGTATATGAAACTGTGTGTAGGTTCATCAAAGTCTGGATGGACCCTTCAGTATTTATATAAACCTAGACCTGGAATAGACTCCTGCTGAGATCATTGTCTATAAGTCTTCCATTATACACTTGAGGAGAGAGAAACTATGACTTGTCCAGAGTCAAAGTACAGTAGCAGCTTGGACCTAGGTTTCCTGTCTCAGAGGCTCCAACTGGGTAGGAAGACTTCTGGTACTGTAATGTCTCATGTAGACATACTGATGTCAAATATCAAAAGGGAAGTTGTTAAGATTGGTGTTGCACTATTAAGGGCAAGGGGAAGGAAACCATTTGCTTTTTGCAAGCCACATGCAAATAATTAAAAATTAACCAAGAAGTTTTGTCTTATTGCACTTACTGGAACAAATATCTATTGATCAGAAAACCTGAGAAAAAGCTTAGTAATATTATTACTGTTTCCAGTTGAGACAAATTTTCTTTTCAATACTGGGGAATTGAACCCAGGGTTTATTTGAATGCTAAACAAGTGCTCTACCACTGTGCTACATCCCCAGCCCATCTGAAATCTCAAAAATTACAAATGTTTCTTTTAGTCATTATTGTTGATTAAGACTCAAAGTTTACGCATAAAACTGTGTAAGTTAGGGAATATCTATCTGAAGGTAATTGTTTTTCTGATGGTCATTTGTCAGATCATAGGAAACATTTCTTGTCCCTAGCTTTCTTTCTCACTTGTTTCTGTGGCACCTAAACTGTTTGCTTCTGGTTTCTGCTTTTAGGATTAAGACCACAGCAGATGGTTGAAGAGATGTCAATGATACATGTGGTTTGTCTGCTTAATTACTTATTAGTACTCTAGCAGAGAGTAGAGGCCTGAGAAACAAGATATAGGATGAGCAGATGTTGATAGAAGCAATAAAAGAGTTCAATGAAGGGATCTCTGCATCATGGTGAGGGCAAAGTAGAAATAGAAAGTTTTCCGAAAAGGTGAAGCATTTACAGGATAGAATAAGTGACTGAATAATAATATTGTCTATTCCACAATTTTGTCTCAAATTCAGACTAATGGTTAATACTTGATGGAGGCTTTGGTGTTCTTTTCTTTATAATAACAACCCATTTGTAATATTCACATACTCTTTTACAGGTTGTCAAACACTAGCAGCTCCATTCTAGAGATGATGTGATTGAGGTACAGGGATGTCAAATGATGGCCTAAACTCAATCAGTGAGTGGGGAAGCTAGGATAGCAACTTGTGTAATTTAGTTCGAAAAAGTGCTTTTCCCCTGTACTAGATGAGGATGGGAAAAAAATTCATATGTTGGAGTCAGATGACACAGGCTTGAGCTTGCTAATTTTATTGTCAATCATGTGACTTTGGACATGTTATTAACTACTTCCAATGTCAGTTTTTCTCATGTGTGAAAAAAAGGGAATAATAATACCTTGTGAAAAGTCCGATAAGTAAAGCAAGTGAAGCAATTAGCTCATTGCCTGGTGTATGGTAGGTACTCAACATATGGAGTTATGTCCAGCTGGAAAAAAATATTTCACGTGCTTTTCCTACACTTAAAGGTGAAATAGTTTAATTTTACCTTTTTTTTTGGTCTAATGATACTATATCTCTTTAGTTTCATTTCCATGATAGAGAGAAAGAATGTATGAATGTGTATGTGCGTGGTAATGTACTTGTGCAAGGCGTACCTGTGTGGCCTTGGGGCACACCAGTGGTCCTCCATGTTGTTGGGCTGTGTGGAACCAGCCTGTTGATCAAATAGAAGCATTTGTTTTCTGTAGATCATTAGAAACTGAAATGTGACCATAAAGCTAATCTAACCAGGTGGGTCCTCGTTCTTTGACATGGCTGAGTTCCAGAAACACAGGTTATTTTATTCTGAAAAAAAAAATCAGGAAGTGACTTGAAATTCCCGGCCAGATGACATGGAAGGTTTAGGGTAATTTCCTTTAGTAGACACTGCTATGGACACACACAAAATTGCATTCCTTTTTGAGTATACTTTATTTACAATTATTCATTCTTGAAATTGTTTAGAATCACCTTAATTAAAACCAGTACATAAAATAATCTTCACTGTATTTGTTACATATGGCACAGAATAATTTAACACTTTATAAATATGTTCCATTGATGCACAAATGAGAGAAGCACCCTTTCCTAAAAGCAGTATGGGAACAGTTCAATTTGTCTACAGTAGCACTTCAAGAAATGACCATGAGATGGCGCTGTGGCCAAGTAGATTACGTATTTATTAAATCAAGTTTTTTCTAACTACTGCGTTTAATTCCTTTCTTTTGAGTGTAGAATTTATCATTCAACTTAAAGAAAATAAAGGTTTGTTACTCTGTTTTAATAATAATGGCTAGGAGAGAATCCTTTCATTACTGACCCATAAATTGTTTGAGGACTGTTTCATTGGGGTGAAGTATATATAAAAAGCCATAGTAGTCAGGAAGTCCTCAGACTGAACAAAGGACCCAAAGTTACCATTTAATTGAAAACCAATAAACTATGTACATAGACTATTCTTTTCACCACCCTCATAGAATCGTGCTAAAGTATTTCCTCAAAAGTAGAGCAACTTCCAGTTAATTTAAAGGGCTATGCTTCTATTATGCTTTAGCTTCCTCTGATAGCAATGGAAGGTCATAGGAATATTAGAACATGATTTTACATTTAAATCGACATGACACAAACATGCACACATGTGTACATACTGAGTTTTTTCATTGATTTTCTTTTCCTCCATATAAATATATAAATATTGAATAAAGTGCATGGGAACATGTCTGTACATATATACAGTTATATATGTGTCTATGTACACTTAAATAGATATTTTTGCAGGAAAAACATACACATTTATACTATATATGCAGTCAGAAGATATCTGTCAGGCAGTATGTTCATTCTGATCAAGATTGAATACATGGGGAAATCTGTAATCTTTACTATATAATGAAATGAGCAGAGTGATAAACTAAGGCAAAATACATTAGAGCACAGACTATATTTTCATCAGTTGGTATCATATGATCATTAAGAAGCAGTCTGGTTCAAATGCAGCCTTGGTACTAGTGGCATATTATAAATGCTAGCATTAAAATAGTGAACTATCTTTCAACGTATCTGGAAGGACAGCCCTAGTGCATTTCCAAATTATATAACAATATTTTCTACATTAATTTTCAAATCTGTATTTTTTTCCAAAGACTTAGGGCAAAAGCTACTTAATATTCAATAGAAATGCTTCATCAGTGCAATCATAAATCCAACATCTATTCCAATAATCATGTGCAGTTTAAGTTAAAGCATTACAGTATGAAGCTGGATTAACTATAGTTAATCTTTTTTCTCTCTTTAAATCATTTCTACCAAATATTATATTTGTCTGATTTTTACTAGAGACTCTAGTGTCAATAACAGTAAGATAATTGTGATTTTAGAGAGACAGGACAAAAATTCTGCTCAATACTTTGGTAGTCATAAATTAAGTCCAGATTGAGGTATACCTTTCTATATTAATTACAGCGTTTGATCTAAGCTGATATACACCCCCTTCTTTGTTTGCTTGACATTTATTGGTAACCAATCAGAAAAACTTACTGAGAAAACCACCCTCACAGTTGTAACAAACCTGTTCCTGAACCAGATAAAGAGGAAATAAATTGAACTAATTCTCAGAATGAGTTTGATATTTTTTAACAAGGGCCATTTCAGTTTAGTCATTTGTCTTAAGGGAAGGATTTTGTTTTAATGATTTTTATGTCCCTAGTATCTAGAAAATTGCCCCCACCCATGAGAATACACTCAATAGATGGTTGTAGAACCAAGCTGAGCAGTTTTAATAAATAGTGTAAATTGATTCATCTGAAAGCATCAATTTACCTGATAAGTGCCAAGAGGAAAATCACCAGCTTTTCACATATTTGTCCTAAGACCCTCCTACTGTTAACAACCAGAAACCTAAGTTTATACTCAACCCTGACACCGTTACATCAATATTCTGTTTGCTGCCCCAAAGTGCGCATGCATGATGCAGTCATTTCACAACGAGTTACCAGATACCTGTGTGGTACGGTTTTAAAGAAGCAACTTCTAGAATGTTTTTGGTAGTGTGAAATTATCCTTTTGATAGCTTACCTATCAAATACTAATACAGAAGAACAAATACTAAACAAGACCACACTGGAAATTCAGATTACAGAACAAGAAGTAGAAGAGAAAGCAGCAATTGGTATTCAGTAACACTTAAAATCTTTTCGCTTCTGAGAAGAATGAACTTGGAATGCAGCAAATGCCAGCAATCTTGTGACTACTTCACAATGGCATCTATGAGAAAGCAGGAATGAAAAAAATGTTGTCAAGTATTTCATTTAATTATCTTAGCAGTACAGACTTCACAACACTGTCATTAGTGTCTTTTTCTTTTCCTTTCAAAATGTATGTCATGGTAAGTTTTATATATTTTTCTTTATTGAAGAGGCCATTAGAGTCAACAAAACTTTCACTATTTATAGCTATTTTTATTTACAGCAGTAGGTAACCAACTGGATCCCATTAGTGGCAAGGTTTCCATTCAGTAAGAGAAGTTAATCTTGATTTATTTAGGACCTCATTATAATTGGACAATAAAAGCTTATTTAAAGACATCATTTATAACATTGAAAGGATCATCAAGCTCACAGCGGAAATGCTGTCAGAACATGTTTCAAGTGCACATCTTGTGGCAAGGAACCCTGCTTTTCATTGACAGAATACAACTAAGGGCCCTATGGTTACTATGGGTTCCACTAGAGCGACCTTTTTTTTTTTTTTCCCCCAGCCTCCCTTACTTTTTGTTTCTCCAGAGAGGTGAAAACTTGTTTGCTGTGCCCTCCACGGTTGCCATGGCAACCAGCCGCCCCGATCACACGCAGCTAACCTTTTCGTTCACCGTGTCCACACTGTCTGTGCCAGCATCTTCCGGAGGAGGTCCTTGTCCTAGAGCAACCATGGAGCAGTCATTCTCTGTCGCCTGGGCATCTTTCTTGGAATCCTTCTTTTGTCCCATGTGGAGCTGACTAGACTTGTAAGCCAAGGCCGGAATAGTGTTCACTAAAATCAACTGCAACGGTTTTTTGTTTTCCTTGTACTGACACTGAATGTAGCGCGAGAACGCGGACCTGTAGGTCTTGTTGAAGAGCGTGTAGACCAGCGGGTTGACGGCCGAGGAGAGGTAACCGATCCACACGAACACGTTGAGCAGGGCTCCGATGACGTCCTCGTTGCACGACTCCTTGCAGATGACAGCCATGATGTTCGTGATGAAGAAAGGGCACCACATCACCACGAACAGGAAGAAGACGATGCCCAGCACCTTGCACGCTTTCTGCTCGTTGCTGATGGACTGCATCGTCCTCCTGCCCGCGAAGGACCCTGGCTCCCGGTGGATGGATCGCTGGAAGAGCTTTTCCGAAGACAGGGAGCTCTGGGGGAGGAAGCTGAAAGAAGAGAGTTTGGACCGTGTTCCCGGCTCGCTCACGCACAGAGTAGCTTCTTTCTGGAGTGACTTGATAGTTAGAAAGTAGGTGATCACCATGATGGTTAAGGGGATGAAAAAGGACACAAAAGAGCCGATCAGGACAAAGTTGTCGTCAGCCAGTAAGCAGCTCCCCTGCTTAAAGACCTTGGAGTCATCCTGCAGCCCAAAGACTGGTATTGGCATGGATATACCTGGAGCAGGACAGAAAATGAAACGGGATCACTAAGGAACCCAAGTGCACAGAGGCAAGAACATTGCCACATAAAATGGCTCTTCAAGGGACTTTATACCAACCTTGTTGAAACCTTAACATACAAATGAGAATTTAGATTTGCTTTGGACTTACCTGTTTTATGAATACATACATATTATACAGTTCCGTGTATGTTGTCATGCCTTGTATAGTCTTTTACTTACAAAGGATATAATAAATCTAGCATTAATTTTTAATGTCACATTTTTCTGATTATAATTTAACTTATTAATTGCAGAAGTACACATATAAGCAAAGAAAACACAAAAATGACCAGCAACACCATCATCCTTAGATAATCATGATTCATATTTCGATGCTGCTTATTTTAAACATATATAGACACACATCCATGTGCGCACATTTAACAATGATTAGGGTTCTATATCATATTCTGTAACTTTTCCATATAACAATGTCATGAGCATCACTTATATATAAAAATAGTTTTATAAAATTATAAACAGAAAATTGTCCTTTCAGCAAATTTGAAAAATTCGAAAAAGTAACAATGAATAATAAAACAAACATGTATTCTCACTGGCCAGGGATAACCATAATTTACATTTCTTCTTCCATTCACATATACATATGTACATATATATATAAATGTATGTATATATGCACTACTGTATTATAATTTTGGATCTTATTCCATTGAAAATTAAATCATAAAGTTGCACATATTTTAAGTATCTTTGGAAAATACGACTAATATTGATTTAAACTAATCCTATCTTTGAAGTCTGACATCATATCATTTAATATGCAGATATTTATTATGTTAGATCTAAAAATCTAAGCGCTTTTAGAAAAAACCTAACATTATCACAATACCATTCTCACGTCTAAATAGAAAGTGAATACTTCCTTAATATCATTAAATTTGCAGTTAGTGTTCAAATTTGCCACTAAAGTCATCATATAATGGTGGTAGAGCATTCATAAGGGTAGATTACAATAGCAAAGGCAGCACCAGATTTTTATTTATTGACAATTTCAGAGTTAGGTACAAAATGTGACAATACCTAGGAGCATGAGCTTATAGTCATGCTCTGTCACTCAAATGTGGGGGATCTATAAAGCTCCCCTAGGCCCAGGGCTCAGGTCAGGGTGGGGAGCAGAAATGAAGAACTCTGATCCTTGCTAATTTCTCTCCATGATGACAGGACCCTCTCCATGAAGGGAGATTTGACTGACCATGTTGTACATTCTGTCCTCTTTCTGAAGCTTGGGAGATGCCAGGGAGGTTGTCTCTGCTTATGGAGCTGGCCTAGGACCGGCCAAGGCAACCATGAGATGGCTTATTCTTTCTCCCATAAAGGAAGATGCAGGGATATGGGAGAGGAGAGGAAACAGCGATTAACCATATAACTTAGTTCAAGGTTGCTTCTTTTGCAAAAGGGCAGACAGTACAGGGACTACTTGGGAGGAAGGATAAGAAAAGGTCTCCTTCTCATTCCTGCCCATATTGTAAGCTCCCTACAGCTATAAAACAGAGAGAGAGTCCTGCTATCATTCTGACCCCTCTGTAGTCTAAGATGTGATCTCTGGCTAGTCAAGAATGCTGGTTCATTCCAGAGTCGGTGGCCACTACTTGACTCTTGCCACCCATGGGGAAAAAGTCCATTTGAGGACATGTAATAACACTTCTGCTTATTCAGAAAAGTTCAGCTCCATCCAACCACAGGTGTGACCATCCCAACCTCATATAGCCCCACCCTGGCTGTTCTGGCAGGAGGGAACCCTAGCATGAGGTTGTACAATGTCTAACACAAATCTTTCTTGGTGCCATTTACCGTTATTGTCACAGACTTCAATGACAATATTTGCCACTTGTCTCCACAAGGCCATTCCATAATTCTTGGAAGGTGGTGATAAATGACATCAGAACTGTCCTTAAGAACACTTATTGTGGCTAATGACTCATCCTGTCCTTCACTCTTCTCTGTGTCTGAACTGCTATCAGGAACATTCTGTGGGCTGAGAGTTGTGGCTCTAAGGGGAACATTTTCTGAGACCCACTAGTCTTTCTTATCCTTCAGAAACCTCTTCATCATAAAAGCTAAAATATGATTTCTATGAAGAGTGTATTTTCTTCCAATGTTTGAACATACATCTGTGAAAGATGTTTCCTGTGTCATCCACAGACTTCTTAGTTTGGTTGCCTACTCAGTAGACCAGATGTGTTGGGCATCCATTTGAAACAGCCCTGGATTTGAGTCCTGGCTGTGGCTCTGGGTTCCTGGACTGGCATTTCATCTCTGCTCAGTTCCTCATCTATGATATGAGGTTGGTACCAGCATGCTTTCACAGATATGTCAAGGATAAGATGTATCAAGTATGCAGAACACCCAGGGTGATGCCTCATCCAAAGGGAATGTTCTACCAATTGTGCATAAACATGGGAGTAGTTTTCTCTGCAGAATGATCACATTTATAAAAGTACATGGACATTATTTTTTTCTAATCGATTTTAATTAGTTTATATACACTAGACTTTATAGTATAGATCTTCTTAAGCCAAAAGAAGCTTTATATAAAGTATAATATATACTTCATATTGTGGATCTTCTTAAGCCAAAAAAAGGAGTTATGGTGACTAGCTATGTAGTTAATAATGATGTGATTATTAGCTTCTGCCAGGGTGTTATTGGGTCTCAATCAATTTTAATTTGGTACAACTAGAACTGTTGATTACTTTTCTAAAATGATGAATCACAGCCATTACTATCAGTCATGATATACATAAACAAAACACCAACTGTCAAAAAAGGTGTATGATTTTTGTTATTAAGTTCTTGGTTGTTCATTTTCTTAATTAATTCAAAGGAAGTTACTGTTTTGAGAGCCTTTGTTCTATTTGTTTATAATAAGATAATTTATAAATGTCAATTTTCAATTAACCAGAATGTGGGATTATGTAAAATGCCAAATTCTTTAATCATTTGGAGTTTAGAACTGAATCAGTCCTTTGTTTGGAGAAAACACATAGACAGACAGACAGACACACACACACACACACATACACACACACACACTTTTTCAGAATGGCTCAGTTTCTGCATCCAGATTGGGAAAGGGGTGAAGGAGCCATTTGCACTGATGGAGAGATTCCATTTCTTAGATGCCCACTCTGAAAGGCAGTGGTGAGAGGTTGGGGTAGTTCTGTGTCTGAAAGGGAGACCTTGCTTTAGAGGGAAAAATCAAACCCATGGGTCTTTAAATGGCCCATTCCTCCTCACACCTAACAAAAATATCCCAAACACTCTCATATATCATTGTTTTTCAAGTCCTCATTCATAGTAAGTAAATGTCAAGGTTTCATAAAAACAGTAGCCAGGAACTTAAAACAATCCTCTATAAAGAGGGGAAGAAATTTTATGTCAAAGAAGTTAGATAGGCTTTATGGGTCTAATAAGCTGTTCAAAAACACAGTCCTACCAAGAGAGATGAAGACACTGGCTGATATCCAGGATCATGGTCACAGTCATCTCCAGGGCATTAATTTTCTGGCTGCTTTGTTTGATAATAACTGAGTTTGGAGACCTGACATGTCCTCTCACTTGAAATTTCTGCATATGAAGCATTTTCTTTTATGACCAGACAGACAGTAGCTTGAACTACGTGACTCTGCATTTTGCTGGATGCATTTTTTTCCTGAGGAGTGGAAACAGCAATCAAAATTCACTATCAGTACTGGATTTTCCATGCACATTTTTATTTTTTTTCCATTAAAACTCAGACAATGAAATGAATGGGAAACAACTGACACTTCAGAGAGCAAAGGCTTTGATGGGTGCCTTTTTTTGTTGTTGTTTTTAACCGTAGTCCTGCTGACTCTTTGCAACTCTAACAAACATCTTAGCACAGGCTGGATAAAGGATCTGAACTGAACACTGGCTGTGAAAGATGGGCTTTATTCTTAAAAAAAAGGGGGGGGAGCTTTTTAGTTATAGATGGACATAATACTTTTATTTATTTATTTTTATGTGGTGCTGAGGATCGAACCCAGTGTCTCACACATGCTAGGCAAGTGCTCTACCACTGAGCCACAGCCCCTTGGGCTTTATTCTTAATCCTGGGCTTTTACGCTTTAATATCATAGGAAAAAATGGTACTTATGTGACAAGGTTCTTTCCTTATGGAACAAACAGGGTGCTTCAGTTGGTAGCAAGTTCCCACAGGGAACAGGACAAGAAAAACCCTATGGGCCTTGGGTGGAGTAGGTAATGGAGGGAACAGAAAAAAAAAAAGCTAAAATTTTGGTTCAGAGGTTTTAATTCCCTTGAAACTGATACATTTTCTTTGCATTTTAACACATGCTGAATTTTTAAAAGATATCCGAAGGGATTTACTAGCAGTTTGACAGACAGCATCACAAGTGAACACTGTAGGATAATCCTCATACTGCCAGGGAAGAGGAAATGAATAGATAGGGTAACCGGGACTGGGACTCACTGTCTTTCCAAAGGTGTAATAATGCTCTTGCTAAATTCCTTCAAGTCTATGGTCCTTTGACAAGAGAGATGCACATGAAACCGAGGGCTAGATAGGCATGTCAGTTACCCAAGAAATTGTATGTTTCCTCTTTGATGAATTCTGAATAGCTCTAATATTAAACCACAACATTTCAAGGTACTTTCATGTATATTCACTAACTCCACATTTTAAAAAATAAAATTGCAAAAACATTACCTACACTTCAGTGATTCTCTGAACCTTAATTCTTTCTTTCTTCATTCTTTAATCTCGAAGTGAAAAATTTCCTCCAGGGAAGAATTATTCTTTGAGGCCAGGCAGATAGTTTAAAAATGAAATCCTTCCAATCGACACTTAGATTCTTTCATAAACAGTCGTTATTCCCAAATTGGAAGATTTTAAAAACTCTATTGCCTGGGCCTCATTCTGAGAGGTTCTGATGTTAATATTTTAAAG